GAATGGAATACAGCATCTTTAACAGTACAGTTTAGGGGCCGGGGAGATGGCTCAGTAGAATAAGCACTTGCCTGGCAAGCGCAGGGTCCTGAGTTCCATCCCTGGTACTGCAAAAAAAAAAAAAAAAAAAGTGATTTAAATATTTCTCAATCAAAGTTGAACTAAGTGTAGTCTAGGTTGATTTTTCTTTGTTCATAGGTGCCAGGATTACAAATCTACTGATAGATTCTATTGTATATGCCCTTTAACCATTAATCTTTAAAAATGAAAATGTAAGCCAGAGGTGGCAGTGCATACCTGTAATACCAGCACTCAGAGGCTGAAGCAGGGAGTTTTCAAGTTTGAGCCCAGCCTAGGCAGTTAAATAGACCCTGTCTCAAAAAAATAAAGGGTTCAGCATCAAGACCCCGGGTTCAATCTCTAGTGCTGCCAAAAAAAGGGTAGAATTTTAGTGGTGGCTGATGTTTATAATCCCAGCACATAAACTGAGGCAGGAAGATTGCAAAGGTTAAAGCCAGTCTGGACACATAACAAGAACATAGCAAGTTCAGTACCAGACTGAGCTAAAGAATGAGAACCGGTCTCAAAAAAAGTCAAAATTTACACAGATGTATACATCAATAATTTTCTTTAGAGAGGGTTTTTGCTATGCCTATTTCAGTAAGTATTAGTTGAATTATATACATAAATATATACTTGTACTTTGTAAAGTTACAGTTCACTCTTTAAAAATGTAAATACTGGGCATAGTGGCACATGGCTATACTCCCAGTACTCATGCAGCTGAGGCAAAAGGATTGCTGTGAGTTTGAGGCCAGTCTGGGCTACAAAGCAAGTTCAGGGACAGCCTGAAATGAACTATATAGCAAGATGCTGTCTCAAAACAAAACAACAAAAGAAAGTGAATGATCAGATCTTTGCCCAAGAATATGGTAAATGTGGGCTTTGAAGACATTTTTTCTGCCCCATACTCTTGAGAATATTTCTCTCATACAAACATTCAAATGAGATGAATTTATTCACATTACATCAGGAGAAAAAAATAGGATTAAGAACTAGGTCTCTTGATCTGCAAGTCTGAAAAATGGGCATGAAATAGTATAAAATCAGCGTTTTCGAGCACTTTCAATTAGCCACATTTTTTTTTTTTTTTTTGGTATCAGGGATCAGACTCAGAACTTTGTGCTTGCCAGGCAGGCACTTCTGCAACTGAACTATGTCCCCAGCTGAGCACTTTCAATTAGAAGGGACTGGACTTTTCCTTATTAGGTAATATCTTCAAGCTGATGAATGACAGTAGAAAAGCAGTCAGTTCCTTTCTGGCTTGAGTTCAAACTAGGTCATCATTAAAATCCTCCCCAATCATAAAAATGTGTCCTGTGAAACAGGATATCACTGAAATCAATCTCAGGTAAACGAGTTTGTTTCTAGTACATTCTAGAAAGTAAAGTTCTCAAAGGGCCAACTTTGGGGGACGTGTGGTTCTCGTGAACTCTTCCTTGTCATTCCTCTTCTCTTTCCCTTTGGCTCTTGGACCCAGGTGGAGGAACCTATGGGAACATCCACACCCTGGCAGGACTCTATATCTGAGAGGCCACCTTACTCTTACATGGCCATGATACAGTTCGCCATCAATAGCACTGAGAGGAAGCGCATGACCTTGAAGGACATCTACACTTGGATCGAGGACCACTTCCCCTACTTTAAGCACATTGCCAAGCCAGGCTGGAAGGTAAGCCATCCCATGCCAGTGAGAGTTAAGGTCACTGCAGTCCCACACCATGCTTCAGTCTCTGTGGCGCTCTGGGGCAGTGGGAAAGAACAGAGGCTCAAACACTAAGCAAAACAACAACAAAAACACTAAGTAGATGCATCTTGCGGATTGTGGCTTGATCCTATTGAATCTAAGGAAAAGCAGTAAACATTCTGTAGCCACTTCATCTTTTACTAAAGTTCTTAATGAAAAAAACCTGAATCTAATGACCCCAAGGTTCATCTAAAAGATCACTCTTCTATGGGGCTGGAGAGATGGCTCAGTGGTCTAAAGCACCTACTTGGAACAAGCTTGGCTAAAGCACAGGGACCGCGGTTCAATCCCCCAGCACCACATGCCGGCCAGCCGCGCCCCCTGGTGGGCTGAGCTGGCCACACACACACACACACACACAATAAATAAATGTTAAAAAATAAATAAAAGATCACACTTCTAGTGTTCAGGGCTTTACTTTATGCATGAACCACTAAGATGGGAATTGATGTACCTCAGATGGTTGGTCAGTTAATGTAGTGCACACATTCGATCTTGTTTGTTGTTGTTTTAGATAGTCTTGCTACGAACTCACTCTGTAGGTTGCTTTTGAGCTTGCTGGAATCCTTCTGCCTCAGCTTACTGAGTATTTAGATTACAGATGTGTGCCACCACTGCCGGCACAAAGTAGGTCTTTTGATTCAATTCCAAGCCAAGGAATATCTGTTTTATTTTATTTTTTTCCACAGTAGAACTCTGCACACTCCTATCAACTTAGTTTTGTAGTTTCCTAGTTTATCTCACCCACCTATCTTGCTATTATTATTTTACAATCTCACTCTTTCTTAGCCCTTAGGATCACTCGATCCCTCTCCCTCTCCTTCACCGTCTCTCCCTCCCTCTCTCTCTCTCCCTCTCTCCCCCTCTCTCCCTTTCTCTTCCTCTCCCTCCCTCTCTCTCTTTCCCTCTCTCTCTCCCTCTCCCTTTTCCTCTCTCCCTTTCCCTCTCTCTCCCTCTCTTCCCTCTCCCTCTTCCTTCCTCCCTCTCTCCTACTCTCTCTGTCTCTGTCTTTCTGTCTTTGTTTTGTTTCAGTCTTTGTCTTTTTGAAACACTATGCAGTTCGGGCTGGCCTCAAACTCACAGTGATCCTCCTGACTCAGCCTCTCAAGTGCTGGGATTACAGGTTTGTACCACCACACTCAGCTTCTCTTTCTCTCTTTTTGTGCTGAGCTTGGAAACCATGTCCTCACATGCTAGACTCTACCACTGAGCTATGTCTCCAACCCTTTTTTAAGTTACCTAGAGTAGACTTGAACTTTCAATACTGCTGCCTCAGTTTCTTGAGTAGCTGAGATTACACTTGGCTCTCAGTAAAATCTCTTCCTTGAGCTGGGCATGGTGGTGCAACGTCTGTAATGCCAACAGTCAGAGGCTGAGGCAACTAGACCTCAGCACCTAAAGCAAACAGGCTACCTCAGTCCTGAGATAAACATCCTGTCTGGTTAAAGTCAGCTATTAGTCCCTAGGAAACCTTTTGTCACATGTTATTAACTTTGCAAAAGTATAAATGAAATATGTTTCTGTTGTGAAAAAAAAATATATGTATGTATACACAAGATAGGATAGATATACAGTTACTTTCTCTTAGTTCATTGAGAAGAAAGGTTTGTACTAATATTGTTTAGACAAGATATCATGTCTACATCTTGTCCTCTGAATAACTACTATGAAGACAACAATATGCAATGTATTAATTACTGTACCTGTCCTACTAACCTATTTTGAAATTTTATTGCTATTTTATCTTTTTTTCTCATTAAAATGAATTTAAAAAATTAAACTAAAAAAAGGCTGAGGCAGGAGAATTGCCAAGAATTCAAGGGCAGCCAGGGCTACATAGTGTGTTCAAGACAAACCTCAACTATAAAATGAGACTGTTTCAATAAAAAATATTTTCATTGATCTTTTGGGTAGAAGTAGGGTTTGCTCAGAGGCATATACTCAGAAATAGTGCCCTTGCCTAGCATGTGCCAAGCTCAAGGTTTGATCTCTAGCAACACATGCACACACATACCCACACACAATAGAGAAAGGGAGAAAGAGGATGGAAACAAGGAAAGAAAGAAAAAATAATAACAAAGAAATAAAATAAATAATCAAGCAAAGATGATTTCCTCAACTTCTGCTGGGACCAACATGAAGTCTCTTCTTTGCTATTATTTGATGCTAAAACCCAGCCTACCCAACCCCCATAGAAGCCCTGGCTGTGAATACCAGGCTTGGTCATAACTGATTCCCACATAGCTATGTCCCTAGATCCCAAACCCAGACTTCCCATGCTTGTACTGTTAGGCCTTTTCCTGTGGGCTGTGAGGGGAATTATCATCTCCCGTTTCTCCGTGGTACAGAAGGAGCTGACAGCGTATCTGGCTCGGGGAGACACAGGCCTGGCCTTGGGCTGCCTTGCAGCCTTGGCTGTCCAACTTAGTTGGTCTCTACTCTCTGCACTCAGGTCAGGGCAGAGCTGGTGGTGTAAAGTTCATGTACAGGGCTCTCCCTGGACCATGACCTTGCACTGGAGAGCAGAAGAAGGCTCAGAGGCTTCTGGCCCACATGTGTGGGCCAGGAGGTGGCCCAGGTTTTGATCACCAACCTAAGGAGCAGCTCCCCTTTGTCCTGATGTGTCAGCGAGTCAGGGCCAAAGGCTGAGGGTCCAAGGATTCTGGACAAAGCCTGTGCTGAGCGGAAGGGAGAGGTCCATAAGCTTTAAGAGTAATGTTTCTGAAGCTAACTAGCTGATGGTTTTGCCTTTCTCTCTTCTAGAATTCCATTCGCCACAACCTTTCCCTCCATGACATGTTTGTTCGGGAGACATCTGCCAATGGCAAGGTCTCCTTTTGGACCATTCACCCCAGTGCAAACAGATTCCTGACTTTGGACCAGGTGTTTAAGGTGAGTGTATTAGTCTGGTCTCTACAGGGTCACTGTTGAAGGTTGCATGGCCATCTCAAGAGACAAGCTGTCCTTGGGATGTTGTGTTTGGTTGCAGAGGGTTAGGAACCACCCAGTTAGTGACTTGCATAAAACATGCTGAATTAAGTACAGTTGCCAAATACCAAATGACACACTTTTGTGCTAGACAGGGACAAGGAACGACCATTATGATCTAAAATAAAGCACTTCTCAGGGCAGTATTTCCTTAGCTCCCCTATGAATATGAATTACGTGGGACATTTGTTACAATATAGCTTTTCAGGCCCCTGCTCTTGGGGCTTCTGGTTCAGGGGATCTGATGGGATGGGGAAGTTTTAAAATTTTGTTATTATTGTTGTTGTTTTGAGATAGGTTCTCGCTGTGCAGTTCAGGCTGGCCTTGAGCTCACTTTGTAGCGCATGCTGGTCTCGAACTTGCAATGTCCTCCTGCCTCAGCCTCCTGAGTGCTGGGATTATAGGTGTGCACTGCCATGTCCGGCTTTGTTGTTTTTGACACAGGGTCTCACTATGTAGTTCTGGCTTTCGTTGAACTCATTATGTAGCCCATGTTGGCCTTGAACTCAGCAATTATCCTGCCTCAGCCTCCTGAGTGTTCAGTCTACAGGTGTATACCAGAGTAATTTGTATTTTTTAAAGTATCTCAGGTGATTCTTACAGAGAAAGACTGAGAAACTTTGTTTTTTAAAAAAGCCTTGGGGGGCTGGTGAGATGTCTCAGTGGTCTAAAGCACCTACTTAGAACAAGCTAAGCTAAGCAAAGCACAGGGACCGTGGTTCAATCCCCAGCACCACATGCCAGCCAGCCCTGCCCTCTGGTGGGCTGAGCTGGCCACACACACAAAATAAATAAATAAAAAATAAAAAAAAATTTAAATAAAAAAATATTCAAGTAGTTTAGTTTAATTCTTTATGAAAATTTCCATCTCTCTGCTTATGCTACCTATTGTTTTTTGCTTGTTTTATTTTTTCCACTAGCTCCCTAAGCATACTAATCATAATTATGTTCAATTTCCAGTCTGATAATTCCAAAATCTTTGTCATATCTGGCTCTGATGCTTGCTTTGTCTCTTCA